AAAACACACACTGCCAGAACTGTCACAGTCACATGCAATACAATACACACACTGCCATTGCTGTCACAATCACAAGCAATATAACATACACACACTGCCATTGCTGTCACAGACACACAATACTACACATACTGCTAGTGCTGTCAAAGTCACATGCAATACAACACACACACACTGCCAGTGCTCTAACAGTCACACACACAATACAACACAGACACTGCCAGAGCTGCCACAGTGACACACAATACAACACACACTGGCAGTGCTGTCACAGTGACACACAATACAACACACACACACACGCTGCCAGAACTGTCACAGTCACACACAATACAACACACAAACACGCTGCCAGAGCTGTCACAGTCACACACAATACAACACACACACGCTGCCAGAGCTGTCACAGTCACAAACACAATCCAACACACACACGCTGCCAGAGCTGTCACAGTAACACACACAATCCAAAACACACACACGCTGCCAGAGCTGTCACAGTCACAAACACAATCCAACACACACACGCTGCCAGAGCTGTCACAGTAACACACACAATCCAAAACACACACACGCTGCCAGAGCTGTCACAGTCACACACACAATCCAACACACACACGCTGCCAGAGCTGTCACAGTAACACACACAATCCAACACACACACGCTGCCAGAGCTGTCACAGTAACACACACAATCCAACACACACACGCTGCCAGAGCTGTCACAGTCACACACACAATCCAAAACACACACATACTGCCAGAGCTGTCACAGTCACACACACAATCCAACACACACATACTGCCAGAGCTGTCACAGTCACACACACAATCCAACACACACATACTGCCAGAGCTGTCACAGTCACACACACAATCCAACACACACACACACTGCCATAGTTGTCACAGTCACACAATACAACACACACTGCCAGAGCTATCACAGTCACACACAATACCAGAGCTGCCAGTCACTCACAATACAACACACAGACTGCCAGAGTTGTCACAGTCATACAAAATACAACACACATACTGCCAGAACGGCCAGTCACTCACAATATCACATACAGACTGCCAGAGCTGTCACAGTCATTCACAATACGACACACACTGCCAGAGCTGTCAGTCACACACAATATAACACGCACATACAACACACACTGCCAGAGCTGTCACAGTCACACACAGTACAACGCAAAAACACACACTGCCAGAGCTGTCACATTCACAACAGTCATGCACAGTACAACACACACTCACTGCCAGAACTGTCACAGTCACACACAATACAACACACACTGACAGAGCTGTCATAGTCACACGCAATACAATACACACACACACTGCCAGAGCTGTCACAGTCACACACAATACTACACACACACACTGTCGGAGCTGTCACACACACAAAATACAACATACACACACTGTCGGAGCTGTCACACACACACACACACACACACACACAATTCAACACACACTGCCAGAGCTGTCACAGTCACATGCAATACAATACACACACTGCCATTGCTGTCACAATCACAAGCAATACAACATAAACACACTGCCATTGCTGTCACAGTCACACAATACTACACATACTGCCAGTGCTGTCAAAGTCACATGCAATACAACACACACACACTGCCAGAGCTGTTACAGTGACACACAATACAACACACACACGCTGCCAGAGCTGTCACAGTGACACACAATACAACACACACACGCTGCCAGAGCTGTCACAGTGACACACAATACAACACACACACGCTGCCAGAGCTGTCACAGTGACACACAATACAACACACATGCTGCCAGAGCTGTCCCAGTCACACACAATACAACACACATGCTGCCAGAGCTGTCCCAGTCACACACAATACAACACACACACGCTGCCAGAGCTGTCACAGTCACACACAATACAACACACACACGCTGCCAGAGCTGTCACAGTCACACACAATACAACACACACACTGCCAGAGCTGTCACAGTCACACACAATACAACACACACACTGCCAGAGCTGTCATAGTCACACACAATACAACACACACACTGCCAGAGCTGTCATAGTCACACACAATACAACACACACACTGCCAGAGCTGTCATAGTCACACACAATACAACACACACACTGCCAGAGCTGTCCCAGTCTCACACACAATACAACACACACACTGCCAGAGCTGTCCCAGTCTCACACACAATACAACACACACACTGCCAGAGCTGTCCCAGTCTCACACACAATACAACACACACACTGCCAGAGCTGTCCCAGTCTCACACACAATACAACACACACGCTGCCAGAGCTGTCCCAGTCTCACACACAATACAACACACACACTGCCAGAGCTGTCCCAGTCTCACACACAATACAACACACACACTGCCAGAGCTGTCCCAGTCTCACACACAATACAACACACACACTGCCAGAGCTGTCCCAGTCTCACACACAATACAACACACACACTGCCAGAGCTGTCCCAGTCTCACACACAATACAACACACACACTGCCAGAGCTGTCCCAGTCTCACACACAATACAACACACACACTGCCAGAGCTGTCCCAGTCTCACACACAATACAACACACACGCTGCCAGAGCTGTCCCAGTCTCACACACAATACAACACACATGCTGCCAGAGCTGTCCCAGTCTCACACACAATACAACACACACACTGCCAGAGCTGTCCCAGTCTCACACACAATACAACACACACACTGCCAGAGCTGTCCCAGTCTCACACACAATACAACACACACACTGCCAGAGCTGTCCCAGTCTCACACACAATACAACACACACACTGCCAGAGCTGTCCCAGTCTCACACACAATACAACACACACACTACCAGAGCTGTCACATACAACACTGCCACACGCGCATCTAAAGCTCCCACAGTTCTAACAATCACACACAAGGCGTAATCTTTGTACCCTTAAAGCTACACTATAGACACTAAGTAATAAGCCAAGCCATATACACTGCATGCAGCTCAATCAATACTAGGCAGATGGTGCAATATGGAGACACAGAGTGCCCATTCCATTGACCCTCACCTTTCTCCCAATCTAACACCACCATTCCCAGTGTGTCAGCCCCTCTTCCTCCTCCTCTCTGGCTGTCACTTGCTGTCACTGGCTGTCTCTCGTCTGATTCGCTCCCCGAGCCGTCTCTGCAACGTGACCGTGGCACTGCAGCCCGCACTCTATGTACACAATGCATTAACCGGTACGCTGTGCTCAGTGCCAGGAGGTCTCTGTTTCCCTGCAGTGCTCTTTGGCGTCTCTTCCTCCAGGTCTCCCCCTTTCCCCTGTGGTCTCTCTCCCGCCTTCTGTCTGCTCCCTCCTTTCCCTCTCCTGCGCTCTCTGTTTGCCTGCCTGCCTGCTTTTTTTTTTTCATAATGCTTTATTGAACAGTTACAATATGAACAAGGACAACTACTGAAATATTTGGGGGTTTTTCCTCCACACTGCGTATTTTTAATGTCTTGTCTTCTTAAACCAGTTTTTTTTTTTTTGTGTTCAATTTTTTACGTTAGTGTGTATATTTAATAACTGGATAAAATGAATTCATATATTAGTAACCTTGCAAAAATACTTTAAAAATTGGGCCTCGATTTAATGTTTTGGGATAAGCTTTTCAAATTATTTAATATTTTTTGTGTAATTTTTTTAAAATGTATTATTTTTAAAAAAAATATATGAAATATATGTGTGTCTCTATGTGTGCCTGCATGTGGATATGTGTGTCTCTATGTATCTGTGTGTTTAAATATGTCTGTGTGTATGCATATGTGTGTCTGTATATGTATCTGCGTGTTTATATATGTCTGTGTGTTGCCTGTATGTGTCTGTTTATCTGCATGTGTCTGTATCTGTTGGTCTATGTATCTGCGAGTCTGTGAATCTGTGTGTGCATGTGTATGTATGTGTATTGGCATGTGAATGTGTGCATGTATTGTATCTGTGTGTCTATATGTGTGTTCGTGTATCTGCATGTGAATCTGTGTGTCTGTATGTGAACATGTGTGTCTGCATGTGTATCTGTATGTCTGAGTGTCTGCATGTGCGTTTGTATATGTATCTGTGTGTCTGTATGTGTATCTGTGTGTTTATATGCGTGTTTGTGTATCTGTTGGTCTGTGTATCTGGATGTATATCTGTGTGTCTGTTTATCTGTATGTGTACATCTGTGTGTCTGTATATTTATATATCTGTGTCTATATGTGTATCTTTGTGTCTGAGTGTGTATCTGTGTACCTATTTGTGTGTCAGTGTATCTACATGTATGTCTGCATGTGTGTCTGTGTATCTGCATGTGTCTGTATGTGTATATCTATGTGTCTGCATGTGTATCATTGTTTGCCCCTGTGTATCTGTGTGTGTCAGTGTTTGTATCTGTATGAGTGTCATTCTGTGTATCTGAGTGTGTTTTTTGTTTTTTGGGGGTCGGTTGGGTCATTAGTGTAAAGGGTGTGATTGCATGCCAGGGAGTGGGGGAGGGGGCAGGCTCCAGGTGGCCCAAGCAAAATGCTTGCCCAGGGTCCAATCAATACTGAAAAAACGAGTTTACTGCTCCATCATGGATCTCACATCTCCATTCGTTCTCTTCCCATCTCTCTTTAGGTGTTCCTTCTGCCAATCTTTTCCTTTCTTTCCCCTTTTTTAAGTACCTTTCTATCTGACTCGTGCGGCACGTGTCTCTGTTCTACAATTTCTGTGTCTTTTCTGCTATTTCTCTGTCAGTATCTTTCCCTTCTGTCATTTTCATTCTAAAAAGTATTTGTGTGTGTATGTCTTCAATTACAGAAAAAGCCAGCATGTTCCTTCTCAATCCATGGTGTTAGCGGGATCAAACACAAAGTCACCAGCTCCATCCAAGTTTCAGAAAATTATTTATTGGCTTGAAAGAAAATCAGTGATCATCTGGGAGAATAGAAAAGTTATTCTGAGTGAAGGACAGTCCGTCACACATGTATTCTTAATTAACAAAAATGAAGCATTGATTCATATTACTTATATATTTTTATAATATACTTACCTGCTCTTATGATGTATTCTCTAAGAAACAACAACTTATCTTTGAAGGAACATTCTGAGCACCAATGTAAGTTAAGTGCATTTGATTGGTCTTAATAGGTTTTTGGCTGGTTCTCATGCTGTGATTTTCTCTTTATTCAAAACTCTTTAGTTTTGCTTAAAAAAAAAAGAAAGAAAGAAAGAACAATTTTTTTTAGCTTTCTGAGGATAATTTCACAATACGTATGAGAAACCAATGTGAGTTGAATTAAGTAGATATCTAATAAGAGGACAGTGATTGTCTTTAGATTGGAATGATGTCAGCTGCTCAACTCAAAGTGTTCTCTTACTGGCTGAGCGGAGTACATACACAGTATACGTCTAATAAGGAGGTTGCATTGTAAAAAGAGGGATCATACCTAAGGTGACAGCCTTACATTGCAAATTTATTTTATTTTAGCAAGATTTTAATTTGAAGAAGAACTCAACATGAATCAAAAGCAGCCCTCCCTCGCAAAATGTATGTCAATCCTAAAATACATCGTGTGCAGAATATATATATATATATATATATATTTCTGCACACACCAACTAAGAAGAAATTAGAGGGACATTGCTGATGATGGCTGACATAGAAGATCACTGACACACACAGACAAACTATCTGACACACGCAAGCTTACAAAGAAGAAACCCCTTGGCATACACACTCAATCTCACTACAGAGACGCTCATGACAAAAATGACACACAGAGACTCTCAGGCATACACACACAAAAAAAAAACTTACTACAGACAAGCTCAGTGACAGACACACACAAACACACACTCAACTCAGTACAAACTCACTAGCAGACACGCACACAAGATCACTATCAACAGGGCTGGATTTACATTGGGGCTAGTGTAGCTGAAGCTTCATGCCCATGTTCCTTGAATAGGTACAATGATACAAATAAATAAATGTACGTATATATATATTTATAACTACATCTCATGCTCTTGCTTTGTGCAGAAGGAATTAAGTATTGGGACTTAGAAAGGATGCAGGGGAACAAAGCAAGTGTGGACTGCAGACTTTAAAATAATTAACAAAAAACTGACTTTGCAACCTGCGCAAATGCTCTTGCTACTTTGTTCTCTCTACAGTGTGGCATATTACCTTTCTGTTACACTTAATACATCTACTTTTTTCTCTGTTCCAGACTGCTTACCAGGAGCTTCTGCCTGCAAAGAAGGGAAAGAGGAGAGTAGACAATTGAGTGCTGGGTGACGGGGACACCAGGCAACTGTTCCCAGAAAGTGTAGAGCAAGCGCATCATTAGATATGTTCGGCACAAGCTCAGGATACTGAAACAGCGCTGTTTGCATAGTCCGCCCTCTTCCTCTGAAGTAAGATGGTTTAGGTTCGGAGCTAGAGTGCAGGGATGCAATTTGCACCTTTTATGTGGCCTCACAGTGCTGGCAACCGCAAAGGAGAATATGTGAGAGAGACTTACAGTGCTCCCTCGCTCCTTTCTACTACTAGCCTTCTGCTAACTTTGCAGGTAACAAAAACTGATAGAACACCAGCTGCCAGTAACCTATGTGACCAAGCCGACTGCACAAGTCCCCAGCACCTTCTTCATCCTACAGTCTGAGGGGGAAGAATAAATTAATATATAATGATTTCAGCAATAAGGCTGCACTGCCTGGCCCCCAGTTACAACTGCACCAGGAAACCTATCTTTAAGTTGTTTTCCAGGCCCAGAGATTTCTGGGAGGGGCTTGTGTTGAATACAATGGAGACCCCTTGCTGGGGTCTGTGCATAAAAGGACGAGGAGTTTGGCTCAATAAAATTAGTTGTACTCCCAGAACTGTGTCATCTAGTTATTAGGAGGGGAAGGGCTATAATTCTATAATTACTGCTCAGCACCTTGTTCCAGCTCGTGGAGGATTCAGCAGGGAAAGTCTTTGTAAGGACTACAGCTCCCATAACTGTGTGCCATCCAGTCCCTGGGAGGGAATAGAGCTAGTCCCCTATCCTGTTCCAGGACGGAGGGCTCCAGGAGGACCCCAGTCAAGCCACAGCGACTGGGGCAGAAGCGCTGAGGTTTCCCTGGTTCCAGCTAGGAAGGGGTCCATGGCGGAGGTACCCAGCTGGGGTACTGGAAGCTCCGCTACTAAATCCAAATGACCGATCGTCCATTTAATTTAAGGGCAAAACAGCATAATGTCCTCATAAAGAATAGATTGCAGACAAAGAAGGGATCCATACTCTCATCACTTCTAGACCTTGGTGCACTGTACCTAAAGCTGGCAAACCCCCATTCCATATAGTGAAGACAATGTAGTCCAGGCACTCTGTCTTTTTCAAACAGTAGTTTTATTGGAGAAGCACGGCAAACACAGCAAAGCTTTGATCCACACTCCTCATAAAGAATAGGGCAAAGGCACATAGAAAACTCAGATGCTAAATAACTAACTAATTATTACATTATTAAAATCATCTCATGTTGGTTAAATATAAACATACTCAAAAAGTATAATATATACCTACTGAAAAAGAGGAGAAAAAAAAGGAAGAACATTAGTATCATTGCATATATACTGTCGGGATCCCGCGGGCGGCTGCGAGGGGAGGCTGCACTCTGCTCGCGGTACTCACCCTCCATCCGTCCGCGGTCCCCTCCTCCTCCTGGGTCCGGCGAGCGGCATCCTTCCAGCCTCGGATGCCGCCCGCCGTTTCCTCCACGTCCCCCAGCGGCAGCATACATGACGCTGCACGCTGGGAGAACGCTCAAGTTTGTACACGCCGGGGTCAGTCACCTGACCCGGCGTTAAAGGCACAGTGCCTCAATCACAGTGGGAGGTCTAGATATCTCCCACGTGTGATTGTTAATTCTAATTGGAAATTATCCAATCAGAATTAACCGTATGGTTTAAATACTTACCTTTCCTGTTCCTCCCTGCCCTGTTGTGGTCTTTGCTTTCTAGTATTGCTACTTACCTTGTGTTTCTGGTTACGTACTCTCTGGCTTGTTTATCTGACTCTGTGACTTTCTCCTACCCTTTGACCTCGGCTCATTTCACGTTATTCTGTCTTCTGGTTCCCCTTACTCGGCTTGTCTCCTGACTATTCTGTGTGTGCTTAGCCCGGCCACTCTAAGGTCCGGTACTGCACCTTTTGTGTGTGTGTGTGTGTGCCAGCGTGTTGGGTTTCCCGAATCGTGACATATACATATTAAAGAGGGACAATATTTTTCTTTTATATACAATCCAATACACTCAAAATTATACATAAAATATACAATCTATACCTTATTCTTCTTTTTATATTCGATTATAAAAAAACTTAATTTAACATTTTTTATATAAATATAATTATAAATAAAATCTACATTAATAAAAAATGAAAAATATATTACAAAAGCAATATTACAAAAAATGTGCAAACTCAAAACGAAGATGTAAGCCCTTTGGAAAAAAAGGTAACTATATTAAAAATCCATTTACTCTCCACTTTTACCAAATCTTTTAAATTATTTTCCCCTCTCCAATTTTTGTGCTTCTTAAAAATCACCATACATACTAAAATGTGTTTCCACTAAATGAGCTAAAACATTGTGTTTCATATATCCCCTCTGGATATTGCCGATATGATCTGCCATCTTTTTCTTAAAAAGTAATCCACAAGGGCACCAGAGGAGATACATGACATTAGTGGACTGACACATTAACAACCGTTAACAATTGAAAACTGTCAACTGCTTGCCTGTCTTCTATCTCTGACTGGATGTCCTAACGATTTCTGAAACTCAATATCTCTAAAACTGAGCTCCATGTCTTTCCTCGTCCTGATACTGATCCTCCTCTTTCGCTCTCCCTTCAAATTAGTGGTGTCCACATCAGTCCATCCTTGCAAGCTCGCTGTCTTGGCGTCATACTTGATTCTGGCCTCACCTTTGAGCCTCACATCCTGTCTGTTGTCAAATCCTGTAGATTCAATCTTAAAAACATTGCCCGCATCCGCCCCTTTCTTACGCAAGATGCCACCAAGGAGCTTGTCCATGCTCTAGTAATTTCCCACATGGATTATTGTAACCCTCTCCTATTTGGTCTTCCCAAAAATTGTATTGCCCTGCTACAGTCTGTAATGAATGCTGCCGCCAGACTGATTTTCCTCTCTAGCCGGTCCCCTCACATCTCACCCCTCTGTCAGTCCTTACATTGGCTTTCTGCATCCTATAGGAGTCAATTCAAAGTGCTAGCCCATACCTATAAAGCAGTGAACAATTCTAGCCCCTTATATATCTTTACAGATCCATAGGTATGCCCCTTCTCAGTCTCTTCCCTCTGCCCGTGACCTTTTCCTGTCTGCTGCTCGCACCCGTATAACCAACTCACGCTTGCAGGACTTCTCGCAGGGTGGCTCCCTTCCTATGGAATAGCATGCCTACCGCCATCAGACTCTCCCCTAGTCTTCAATCATTTTGCTTAAAATCCATCTCTCTAGGAAAGCTTATGGCCTCCCAGAGTAACCTCTACCTTACACACCTGTCTCTTGCTCTCTCCTAAAGGGCAGCACTTTACTCTCTCCTCCAGCTCTGCTTCACTCCCACCTTATTTGATTGCTATTTCCTGTCCTAATGTGTTTTATACCCCACCTCCTATAGACTGTAAGCTCGTTTTATCAGGGTCCTCTTCAACTTATCGTTCCTGTATGTTTTCCTGTAATTGTCCTATTTATAGTTAAATCCCCCATCTCATAATATTGTAAAGCGCTACGGAATCTGTTGGCGCTATATAAATGGCGATAATAATAATACATCTCCTGTGCACTGTTCTTTTCACAGTGGTGTTTTTACGGGCTCAGGTTGACACTGCAAGTGCTCTGGTGAACTATTTGCAGGAGAGAGAGCATATCACCATTCTAGTCTTGACTGCCATGGTTTCCAGCCTCACACCATTGTCCTTGGAATCACTACTGAATTAAGCATCTTCCATATCAAGGTCCAGTGCTTCATTTTTCACTCAGTTCTTACTATTTATGGTCTGGAAGTTGAGAGACAACAGTTGAGGAGTAGAGGATTTTCTAAGTCAGTCATCGATACGTCTTCACCATATTATTGAATAAAAATAATATTTCTCCACGGGCTTCTTTTCATAAGATTCCAGCTTATACTCCTTCCACCAAGAACACATTATACATTCTACAGGAAGACTTAGTCTTAGTCTATCAGAACAGTTTTCAGCCCTCTCCATTCCTAGAATGGAAGTTGACTGTAGATTAAGACATATTTCATTTTCAGAATGCAATTTTAAAGAAATTTTTTCCAGCTCAGTCTTGCTCTAGAAAAAAGAAAGGAAGGCAGCGCCACTATAAACCACATAAATAAAAGAGCACAGAATAGGCAGACTAGAATGCAATATATATGATAGATAATAAGCAAATAGAAGTCCAGAATAAATAGTCTGACTGGTAGATGAATCAAACAAATATCTTTGTAGAGGTGAATACAGTCTTTTGTAGTGGGGGATTCTTCAGAGTGGTGTAGATGCGTCTTTGTACATCATATGAAATGAGAAAATAACAACTGATGGTATAGTATGTCCCGAAAGGGGTAGAAGCAATAAAAGAGTATATGGTCCTACTCACGTTTTCAAGAGCTATGGACTTAGCTCTAGTGTTGATAACGTACAGTGGTATAATCCCCACTTATGGGATACGTGAGGTCTTAGTATTCTTTCTTGATTAGGGAACCATATGTGGAAATAAAAGCAGGAACAACAATGGTGCTCAAAGTATAAAATGCCAGAGGTGAGAAGATAAAAAAACCAAGTGGTTACTCACATTTAGTTGAACAGACTGACTGTTCAATGAATACAGCTTGAGTGGTATAATCCCCACCTAGGATTCTTGGGAGTAATATCCTCACTGGAAAGTAAAAACACTTCTGTGCCGGATAAAAGGATGGTAGTAATAAAAAAGTAAAATAATAATAGTAATAAAAAGTAAGATGGCTAACTCACAGTAAGAAAGTGGCCAAAATACCTTTATTTAAAACAATATAGTTTAAAAAACCACAACGCGTTTCGCCCTTAGGCTTTATCAAGTGGAGATCAGAAAGTACATCCTGTTACATACAGGTTTATATAGGCAGTGAACATATTAGAAAATGGCGCCAAAATGATGTCATAATTTTTTTTTCTCAAAAGTGCTAAATTTTATATGTGTAAGTGAGTACATACCTATATGTGAAACATGTGATAGTTTAAAATTAAAAACAAGGTTTTAAACTCACAATACCTTACATATTCTATTTAGATACAACAGTCACATGATCGGTTGCCATTTTTTTTTTTTTTTTCAAAAGTGCTAAACTTTATATGTATCAGTGAATACAAACCTATATCGGAGACATGTGATAGTCTAAAATTTAAATTAAAAACAAGGTTTTATACTCACAATACCTTGCATATTATTTAAATAGAACAGTCACGTATATAAGTCACATTGTATAAATATGTACTTCATGCACAAAATAATTATAGAAGATAATAAAATATAAGAAATATATTATAAAAAATTAATTATAAAAAATTATAAAAAATTATAAAAAATTATAAAAAATTAAACAGGTCGAACTCTACATTAAGACCTTCGGGGGTAAGGGTTTTTAAAAGGAACACCCAGTGCATTTCTTTTTGTCCCAGTAATTTTTTGAGGTCACCTCCTCTCCAGGGTAATTTACATCTTTGGATCCCAGTACATTTTAAAAATTTAGGGTCTTTGTTGT